CATCCATCCATCCATCCATCCATCCATCCATCCATCCATCCATCCATCCATCCATCCATCCAGGTAGCCAGTCTCTGTATTTTTCCTTAGTAGTTCTTTAGCCTTTTTGATGCTCTGTTAAGGTATTTCATGGGGTGACTTTTTCTGTCTTCAGGATGTTTTGTTTTTGGGTTCTGCCCAGTATTTGCTGTCAGAGGCAGGTGGAATGAATAGCACATAATAATAGTTTGATACTGCAGGCACAAGGATAGATATACTGTTTAAATCCTGGAACTTTCTGTAAAGTTCCATTTATAAGCTATAAAAATATTTTTCCTAATTTTGAGCATTTTTAATTAAAATAGTGAGTTTTGAGGCTAACGGTTGTAAAGCAGCCAGAGTCTTCATTAAAGCTGTGTAAACACACATTCTGCCAAATGTCCAGCTGATGAACCAGCTCCTCTACCAGCTTGTATTATTGTATATTATAATAAATTACATTACATTACATTATATGATATTATATAACATACTCTAGCTGCAAAAAAAAACAAAAAAACTAAAAGCATAAATGTGTGTAATAATAAACAGTTTAGTAAAAAAAAAAAATCCTCCCTATTTTTGGGAGCTGTTTTTAAGCTTGGTGTTCTTATTTTTCTTTATTTTACCTGAAACGTATATATGTATTCACGTTTTATCATCTTTATTCATCTTTAGTTCTTTTCATCCAAACTGTAGAATTTTCAGCCTTCTGGTTTTATGAGGGTTTAATCTAATTTGCTGTTGACATATTTTACTATACAGAACATCCCTGGCTATGTTTGCTGTACAAATCTTTGTAGGTCTGGTTAAGTTTCTCCTCTTTCTTCATCTGCTTGTGTTTTTGTGCCTCAGTCTCGGACGGCGAACACACCACTCCTGAGCTGGACTTTGTCATCCTGTTGCTGTCCAATCACCAGCAGCCGCCAGTCTTTCAGGTCCTGGACCCGCTGCTGGAAGTCAAATTGGGGGGACAAGCTACCCTCGGTGAGAGAAAATGGAAAAACCAACCCAGCTGAAACATTGGTTAACGTGTCAGTGGAGCTGAAGCATGTTAGCAGACAGCGAGGCCATAAAACCTGCAGCCTTTTAAAGTTGGATGATTTCTCTTAGCAGATACATTACAGCTAGTTTCCTTTGTTTGTCTCCTGTGCTCTGTGTCCAGGAGGCCAGCTGTTGGCGGTGAGCGATGTGGACACGGATCCAGATGACCTGGAGTTTGAGCTGGTTGACGCTCCCATCCACGGAGAGTTGATTAGGACTGATACCAACATCCGCATGATTAACGGTAACCCACATTATTAATTTCCAAAATAAAATCATCTTAAAAGATAACCAGATAGACACCCAGCTTTATTGAAAGAGTTTCCTGTTTGATGAAGAACACTTGGTTTGTTTGTTTTGTTGATTCTGATGAAAGCTGGATGTCCATTTTGTATTGAACCTGTTAAGAACACTGATAACCAGCCTTCTGGGTTTTATGCTCATTATGAGCGGAAGGAGGATTTTGGAGGTACAGATAAATTTTTTGATGTTACCATGTCATTTGCTTTATTATTCAATTATTAAATTCAATTTTCTGAAGAAAAAAAAAACACTAATGATGCCATACACTCTAATAAGGCTCTGAAGGCAAACAAGCCCACATCATCATGGATCCTTCTCCGTGGTAAAAGCCTGAAGTGTTTGTTGTTTAAAAGCCAAATCTCAGTCTAATCAAACAAAAGCATCTAAACAGTTAAATTCAATCAGTTTATTTATATAGCGACAATTCACAACACATGTCATCTCAAGGCACTTTACAATTCAACCAGATCATACAGTCAAATTGATTCAAAGTTTTATATCTAAGAAAAAACCTCTTTGCATCGTCTCATTGACTTAAATGCAATCCCTCACACAAAGCATGGTTGTAGCGACAGTGGAGAGGAAAAACTCCCTTTTAAAAGGAAGAATCCTCCAGCGGAACCAGGCTCAGTGTGAGCGGCCATCTGCCGATGCCGACTGGGGTTAAAGGAGAGCAGAGATACATAAAGCAACT